TGAGGAGGGAGCCAAAGGGGGCAATCCGACGGAAACGCAATCTATCGATACCAGCACGTCGATGCGACGGTATCCCGACCGGAGCATGATATTTACCTCGGACAAAGAAAAGCCCACAGGGCTCGACGACACCGACCAGGACAGCCCGAACTTCCTCTCCGAGATCGACGAGGAACATGCTATCGACGAGCTATCAGCGCCACAAATAACTCCTGCCAAGCCCAAGATAGCGGACCCTCCGAACGGTGGCTTGAAAGCGTGGCTGCAGGTTCTTGGGTCGTTTTTCATTTATTTCAACACATGGGGTAAGCTGCAACCTCCGACTCAGCGATCCCCTTCGATGCAACGCAAGGCCGTTGCAACGTCACCCCCCATATCCGCAACTGCTCAACGTGCAAGAGCAGCTGCATAGTGTAGTGGTGTAAATATTTAGCTTGATTGCAAGTGCCGAAGAGAGCCGAGGCTGACTGAACGCGCGATGACAGGCCTCGTTGCAAGCTTCGGAACCTTCCAGGCTTACTATGAGGATGACCTCCTGCGGGACAACAGTCCATTTGCTATTTCCACAATTGGCTCCCTGCAGAGCTTCCTAATGGTATTTTTGGGGTTTATTGCCGGCCCTGTTTTCGATCTGGGCTATGCGCGCCAGCTCCTTTGGGTGGGATCCCTGCTCATTGTTGTTGGCTCCATCTGCCAGAGTCTCAGCAGCAACCTCTGGCAACTCCTCCTCTCCCAGGGACTCTGTGTTGGTGTCGGAATGGGCAGCCTCGCAGTTCTGGGAGTTGCTGTTCTTTCCCCATGGTTTTCGACAAAACTGCCTGTTGCGACAGGCATCGCGGCTGCGGGGAGCGGCGTAGGCGGGTAAGTCTTCTGGAACATCGTCAATAAACACAAACGAAAGTATCCCACCGGATAGGGCTAACTTTGACTTTCTCGCATCACAGCCTGGTCCTCCCCATCATGTTTCGGTCGCTTGAGCCCGCGATCGGGTTCCGCTGGACTGTGCGCACCATGGCGTTGATCGCTCTAACGACGCTGGCGATTTCGATCGTGAGCATGCACACGCCGAAAGCCTCGCCGCAAAGGCGCGCCTGGATCGACAGGTCCGCCTTCAGAGACGTCCCTTACCTGCTCTTTGTGTGCGCCTGCTGTCTGGTCTTTTTAGGCATGTACACGCCGTTCGTCTATGTCCAGAAGTACGCTCTGGCAACCGAGACCGCGACGCCGCGCGTCGCCACGTATCTGCTCTCCATCCTGAACGGTGCGTCCATCCTCGGCAGGACCATTCCCAACTTGTTCGCGTCACGGATCGGGACGATGAACATGTTGGTGGTGGCTGTGCTAATTCTGTCCATCTCGGCGTTCTGCCTGATGGCTGTCAGCAATGCAACCGGTCTGATCGTTGTTGTCGTGTTCTATGGGTTCAGCAGTGGGAGTTTCTTCTCGCTGCAACCTGCGACCTTCACACACATCACACTGGATCGGAATTTCATTGGTACTAGGCTAGGCATGGCGTATTCTGTCATGTCGGTTGCTCTCCTCCTCGGTTCTCCGGTGGGAGGGGCATTGGTGCGCACATTTGGATACTCCAGCGCCTGGATATGGGCTGGAGTATGCCTCGCTCTAGGAAGCATAATGATCGCATGTTCAAGGGGCATGGCGAAGGGTTGGAGGTTGAATCATAGACTTTGATACCCTAGACTTAGACTTTAGACTGCCTCATGGCATACGACCTGGACATGACCTATAGACTAGACTAGATAGACTACTCGCGACTTAATGCTTGACGAAAGCAACGCTCTTAATTGAATAATGATTGCAGCGAAATGAATTCTTGTGTTATTTATACACAACTGAGTTTCAAACCTTTACTCGTCTCTCGACACTAATAGAACGCTTCTTTACGCAGGCTAGCTATGTTTTACTACGTACTACTAGACCAATCAATACGACTGAATTCCCTGCCTAAAGCCTCGCTAGAACTGTATGCTACTGTTGCCTCCACCTTTAACGGGTCAAGAAGATGCAAAAAGTGAGTCTCAGGTCCACATGAACCGATGTGGGGGAGGGCAAAAGGAATTGGGCCCTAACCAGGGATCGAACCTGGGACCTCTCCCAGAATGAATTGTTGTGAACAACCCTAAGGGAGAATCATACCGCTAGACCATCAGGGCGGAGAACCTCAAGCTTGTTGAGATGCTGTGATCGATGTCTCATTCCTGAGGTTGATAAAACATTGGCAACCTTCCGTTGTCCGTTTCTGCTTGATAGCGAACTCAGGGAACGCTAATCTTAGTAGCAACGCCCAAGCACTGTTCTAGAAGTAAGAGCTCGATGTCTTTTAAAAGTTCTGCTTTGTTTCATGCGAAGACGTGTGGTGACTCTAAGGGCTATGATGAGCCTCAGATGTTCCCTGCTTTGTGACCCTGGGTAGTAGATAGAATTTCTATGACGCTAAACATGATTCATCAAAAAGGTAAAAAGAATCAATTTGCAGATTAGACTGAGTGAGTGAATGATCAACTAGCAGTAGCGACAGTGTTCCCAGCTCCACCAAGTCAGGACCTCATTTCCAGACCTTCGTAGTTCCATGGCAAAAGTCCTAGTTACCAGACGACGGCAAAAGAGTTGTGAAAAGAGAAGAAGTTTGAGCGGTGTCAAGTTCCAAAACATCATTGACTTCATCATCGATGGACTCTAGAAACATCTCCTGAGTCCACTTGGGTTGCCATCCAAGCTTGTATCCATTGACAGCTACAAGTTCTCCGCTATTCAAAAGGTCAGTAATTCCTTGCCATGCAGCGGGAACTGCGCAGAGCATGTGTAATCAAGGTATTCACTAACTTAGAGGTTCCCATAGCCCGGATATACAGTCGTGGAAACCCAAGAGTGTCAGCCGCCACGTCGTAGCTAGGCCAGACTTTGGTCATGGGTTCGTCGACAAGCCCGCGTGCATGCATGGCCACAGCAATTCGATCCATGACATCCCACCAGGGGACTCGGTGCACTGTGGCAAAGTAGTAGCCCTCACGACCGCTCGGGATGGGCTTTCCAAGGAGGATGTTCTCCGTTAGGAGCCTGTACAGCTCTACCAAATCCCGGATATGTATCGCAAGTTGGCGCTGGGAAATTGCGACCGGTGAGCAAGTTGACAGAAAAGAGTCGCGATAAATTTTCAGACTTACTGCATCCTTGTCGAATTTGTGAACAACCCTAAGCCGCTTGCTAGCTCTGACCATGGCCGGAATATTGACGGACAGCTTTCTGCCTTGGCCAGTGCCTCGCCCATCTTGGCATCGTTAGTATGATGCTCAAGCTTCTTTCGACCGGATTTAACTCACAAACGAGGGGGACCGGGATGATGAAGGGAGTCACGCCGAATGCTTCAGCTTGATCCATGACCAGGATGTTGGACTACATTGACAAGAAGTATTAGCGCAAGTAGAGGGTCTGAATGTTATATGCATCTCACCAGTCGCGCATGGTTTGGGCCCCCGATCTCCTTCTCCTTTTCGTAAAGACTATCGGTATCCTTGACCTCGCCAGCAGACCAGCCACCATCTTCGGTGAAAAGGGTCGCTACCGAAGTCTGGCAAAATAATAAGTAATTTTCTGAGGAGTTCGGAACTATCACAACCTACGTGAACGAAGAAGATGTCTTTGCCGGTCGTCTCACGAAGCTTGCCAAGCCCCTTCATGAGGTTTGACAGGGGTTGATGGTCGATGACACCAGCGGTATGAATCACGAGATCGACTAGGAAATCATTAGTTGTACTATTGCGGCATGCTAGTCAATGCAACATACTTTTGTTCTGGACAATTGCTTCTACAACAGCTTGCTGATCGGTCAGATCAAATTGGACCACGTTGACGCCGAGTTTTGCCAAGTGCAGTTTCTGGGCTTGCTCCTCCGTTCGGACAACAGCAAAGATATTTGCCTTGTTGATAGGGCCGCGCGTGCGCTCTATGAAATCTGCGAGGACGGAACCGCCGCTGTTATCGCAAATGTCAGTCAGTGATTGCGGTGTACACTGTCAGGATTTATCGTACGTACATGTAACCGGCAGCGCCCGTGATAAGAATGTTGTGGCTCATGGTGTTTGCTGGGAATTTTTTAACTTTGTGAGATACTTCGCACTGAGATAATTAGCAGAACGCTTCTCCGCGCTTCGAGTGGCTCATACTTATACATTCAGGGTCATGGCACGATACACACTCACGTACTCCTTGATGATTCTGCTGATCCAACATAGGTAGCGACGAGAAGAGTAATCAGACGCCCGACGCCGATGACTTACACGCCAACCAATCACAAATTGATTTACAGGATCCGAGCCCCGACCGGAGATGCGCGCGTTTCCGCTGAGTGCGTGTATGTGCTGACGGCGCGACCACGGACTGGAACTTTGGTAATTGTCCGAGATGCGTCAGCAACCTCGGAATACCCATGCCTCACCATTAGTCATCTTGCAACTAACATGACTTCTGCGATTGCCATTCACGACGGCCGACGCGCTTGGTCACTTTGCATGTACGCCATTTGATCATGGAGAACCGCGGGATTGAGTCTGACAAGAGAACGAGATCTCGCCCGGCCATCGCCCGACGATCGGTAAGCCCAGGACCGCGCTGGGAAAAAGGGAAAGCTGACGGAGAAGACAGTGTGATCAATGTCGGTCAAGGAAGGTCAGTATTTGCTTACTATTCTTATTTACAAGGCTGTCAGAATAGCTGATGCTTAAGACAAGTAGATTGGTTGCGACAGAGCGTCACCGTGTTCAAACTGTGCTGTGGCAAAAGTCAGCTGCACCCATAGCGCAATTGCGTCCAATACATCGGCACCCAAGCAACGAGTGTTGATATCAGCGCAGTAGTGAGTCACTCATATGAATCCAAGAACAAGACTGTGGCGTTGGTTGGTCTTTTTACATATGATCGCGCGAGCATAGTTGTAGTCTTGGGCGAGCAATCGCTGATGATCCGTCTCCCACGATTTTAGCGAAAAGAAAATTGATGACATCGCAAAAGGTATTGACGGTATCAAGCTGATACTACAGAGTCTGGATCCGGCACAGATTCCAAAATCAGCCCTGAATGCTGTTACTGGAAATGCTCCTGAAAGTTCGGCTCCGCCTCTAATAACGCGAGACACCATCGCCACCAATGTGTCCTCATTCGACCACTCAGCCCATGTCATTGACCTTCTGAAGTCAGTTTTAGAAGATGGGACAGTCACTTCGAATGGATCAAGCCCGGAGACGTCTGAAGTCGTCTCATCCTTGACTGATCTCACACGTACGCTGGAAGATCCTCCGTCAGGTGGAAACCATCGTTCAGGAGGCAGAACAGTTGCCAAAGGAGGGCACATTGATGATGATCAGATGCCGCCTATCAGAGATGTCCTCGAGATTTTGCGTTGGGTCAGAGGTAAGGTCTTCATCTGAATTGGAAATGGTCTTTTCCTCACTTAAAAGCAGCGCGTGAACATTTCTTTCGCATTGCTCGAATATCACGAGTGCTTCCGACAGAGTACTTTGCAGAAATATGCAGAAAGATGTATTTTGCGATCGACGCCTATACTGAGATTGACTTCGTCTTGGCCAACGGCTATCTTGCCTACATATTTGCCGAGCATCTTATCACTACCGGACTCAACGACTACAGGGAGCACTGGCTGATGTGCCGCAAGAACCTCCATGACGCGGTCGCAAGACTCCCACTCTTACTGCCAGCATCTATGGATGCGGTTGCTGCATTAACAGTAGCAGTAGGTTCTGATCATACGAACATTAGATAGCTGACTGACTATGGCAGGCCTATGACGCTATGGAGAATGCCAAAGCAACGGTAGCTTGGTCTCTCATCTCATCCGCCGCAAGTCTGTGCCAGACGCTGGGATACAATCGGCCTAGCCCACGAAGGAGAGCTCGCAACGGGTCAATTGCGTCGACTGACACTCAAGAGAGTCTCTTCTGGTCTGTGTACTCGCTCGACAAGGGGTTGTCTTTGCAGCTCGATCGGGCTCCCAACATTCGTGATGTCGATATATCAATCTCATTTAACCCAGACAGCCAGCCGAGGAGTATCAGATTGGCCAGGATTCAAGGCAAGACATATGAACAACTTTACAGCCCACAGGGCTTATCGCGGCCCGTCCTCGAGAGGGGGCACGACGCCGAGGTGCTCGCCACACAACTGCGGGAGATGATACGAGACGTTCATGTGGATATGGAGGTTAGTTAGCATGAATCATGCCGTGAAGATTGAACGTCGCTAATCTTCAGGTCCAGAATGCCAACAACAGCGACCCGGTTGCGGATGAAGACCCTTTGCGTGTCTTGTATTTGCAGTGCCATTTGGTCTGTCATACATCGCTCCTCACGCTAATCCTCAGAGCGATACCCTCGGTTGGAAGCTCTCCAAGCGGCGCGTCCGATGAATGCGTTGCAGTTGCTCGGCTCGCCCTCGAGATCCACCATCAATGCATGACGAGCATCCGCAATTGCAAGAGTGATCCTCAAATTGTGAATAAGTACATTAGTTGGTATGTTTTTTAGATCCTTGAGATCTCTCTACTATTCCAAGGAAGCAGAAACCGGTTCTGGTGCTGACTTGGCAGGGCTATTCTGAATATGCCATTCGTGTCATTCAGTGTCTTGTTTCTCCATGCGGTGCGGACCGCCGATGACGCAGATCTTGCCGTTCTTGATCGGTTTGCCAGGTCGCTGCAGCCGGAGGATCAAGCTTCTGATTGCTCAACTCATCCACACCGGATCTACGAACTCCTCTGCAGGGCTGCACGCCTTCATATTGAGTCAAAGACGGGCGGGTTGGATAGTAGCATGAATCAACATCCACTTGAGTCTCTGCTTGATATCGACGTTCCCGACGCTCGCAGTCTTGAGACAACACGGCATGGCAATGAGATTTTCGAAACGGACGGGTCTGGGTTGGGCAATTGGTACCGTGAGCAGCAGCACTTTCTGGGTCTTCTGAACGAGAACGCATTTCAATGACGTGAGAACTGATGTAACTCCGCCATTTGACATAAAAGAGAAAGTCCAACTAAGGTATCTTTCGCAGGCATGCATACATATAGTCACCGCGAAACCAATAGCAACGATTGCGTCTGATACTAGTGGTACCCCACGATTCGATTCTGTATGTCATTCAAATATTTACAGTAAATGTAATCATGGGTGTTCTTGACCCAGTCGCAACAACAGTTTTCGCCCATCAAATAATTACAAACAAGTGCAGGCCGTAGCCGCTTTCGCCTCATGCCATCCATCTAATGCAAGTCATGCTCTAATGCTGAACCAAACGCCGACGCCACGAAAAATCGACATGCTACCTATGCGTCTTCAAAACTTTACAAGTTGGGCTTGAACTTGTTTCTGATTCGCTCGCCGAAGAGATAGAAGAGGAGGGGAATGGGGACTAGACCGAGAGCAATGAAACCCAGAAGACTGTTTCCCCAGCCGAGACCAAGAGCGTTGTACATCTCCAGACCGCCAAGAGGGAGGAGGGCTCCAGCCAGGGATCGAAGAACAGCCAGCGCGGCGGTGACTGAGGCTGCGTAGCGGGGGTATGCGTCAAGGAGGTAGTTCTGAACACAAGTCTATAGCTTGTTGTTAGCAACACATCCATAAAGCAACGGTAGGTGGGATGCATACCATGACACCCATAAGACCAGCGGCAAAGATTACGACACCAATCATAGGCACGATGAAGTGGACGTGCTTCTCGACAGTCCAGCCATAGAGGAAGAGGCCTATGGGTAGGACAACACCACAAGGCATGGCCATAGCAGGGCTCAGACGAATTTCAGGTCGGTGAGGCAAGCCCTTGTCCTTGTTCCTCTTGACGATGTAGTCGGTGAGAGTGCCAAAGGTTCCGACACCGATAATCATACCAATACCAGCAGGAAGGAAAGTCAGACCAACAGTTCCCTCGTCGAATCCGTAGTAGTCTTTGAAGACGAAAGAGAACGTCGTGATGAGAAGGTACAAGATGCCGTAGGTGACAGCAACGTAGAGAGCCATGAGGGTGACGATGGGAGTGGCGAAAAGAAGCTTCAGAGGGCGGATGATGGCAAACTTGAACTTGTCGGAAACCTTGGCCTCAGTCTCAAGCTTGCTGCGAAGGTTCTCATTGCCAGTCTCCTTGCGCAGACGCTTAGTCTTTTGCTCAAGAAGAACAGGGGCGAAGGTCTCCTTCATCAGGAACCAGGAGAGAGGGATAAAGACGCCGCCCTGTAAGTGGGTTAGAACTGACAACCAACTTCCATAATCTAGAGTCATGACATACCACAATGACCACAAGCCAGTAGATCCATCTCCAGCCAGCTGCCTTGATCAGATATCCGCCAGCAACAGGCCCGATGCAAGGTCCGAGAAGAGGTCCCATAGCCCATGCTGACATTGCGCGGCCTCTCTGCTCGATGGGCATGATGTCTGCGATACTACCGCTACCGATGGTGATGGGCACGGATCCAGCCAGACCCATGAGGAATCGGAAGGCCATAAGCATAGGCATGTTCTTGGCGAGAGCAGCTCCGACGGTGAAGACGGTAAAAAGGACGTTGCCCCAGTTGTACAGGAGTCTGCGGCCGTAGACTTCGCTAAGAGGGGCTACCATAAGGGGTCCGAAGGCAAAACCGAGAATGTAGACGGAAACAACGAAGGTGGCTGTCATGGATGATGTCTCGTGGAACTCTACCATGATCTTGGGAATACCGGGTGCGAACATTGAAGAGCCCTGGGAATGAGGTCAGTTACTGAACATGATTTACCCATGCAGAGTTGCTTACAAGTGGTCTACAGCTGTTAGCAGGAGTAACTCAAAGCATATTAGAAAGAATCAACTTACGTTACAAGCGTCAATATAGAAATGACGGCAATGTTCATCCACTTCTGACTCGCGGGCCAATTTTGGGGGTTCTGAGGGTCATCGGGACCGTCCCAGTCGACGATATTGGGGTCGTTCTCTTTCGGCGCATCGTCTGGATTTAATGCGGCTTCGCGGCCAGATTCGGGTCTGATAGTTGCGCCCTCGAGGTCGGAGGCGTTGGGGCTGATTCCCTTCTCCACGTCCACATCTCTCGGCGCAGAGTCCGAAGGCCTTCGTTCCGCCATACTGCCAGGTTGACCTGAGGAACTGAGACTCTAATAAGCGGGAGTGTGCGCTTGGTGTAAGTTGTAAGGCGAGTTTTTAAGGTGTTGTTCGGAAGTTCGATTGTCGTCGTCGAATAGAAGCGCTTGGCACGAGCCTCAAAAGAAATTCGAGAATTCTCAGCAAAGGGGAAACGTAACATTATATCTATCACGGGAGACACACGAGCACGCAGGCGCGCCACGGGTAACGACAAGGGGGGGAACCGCTCTGGTGCACAAAATTGTGCAGATCCCAGGCCCTTGCGCCCTTCCCGTTCGCCTGGTTTTGCTCCGCTGCGCTGCGCAAGGACTAGGCTCGATCCACCCATTGCGAAAAGAAACCGAAACCGAGAAACCCAGGGAATGCGAAGGCGAGCTCGCACGCGATTGGATCAGATCGAACGACGACAGGGGTCCATCCCGCTTGATGGCTTGACGGCTTGGAACCATTTGATGAGAGACGCGGCGTTGACATGGCAAGACACGGGGTTTGGCCATCTTTTGGGACGGAATTCTGCTTGGTCCCTATTTCCAGATGGCGCGCCAACATGCCATTCGACTCATGTTTGGAGCCCCGTCCTCGCAAAAGAAAAATCTGGCTGATGTCAAAAAGCGCCTGGCCCAAGCATCGTGTTTGCTGTCAAAAGTCCATCGGATGAGCCGCCCCTTTCGTGATCGGGCCAGATCTTCGGGCATTGTTACGCTTCTTAAATCCGGAGAACCATTGCCCTGGGCCCCTTGATTTTCGCATTCATGATTTACGTCGTATCGTCATAGAGACACAGAGTCGTGATACGAATTACGAATGCTGCGTCAACTTAACATGCGCATATTACACACGTGGAATGGTCACAGCATCGTCTTAAGCTTGAACACCGTCCCATGACAACTCGTGCGCCCATAGAAGTAGTCCGTATGGTGGATTGCGCATAGCAAGCTTTAGCTCACATAAGCCTCTCAGCCAGCTCCGAGAAACTGCATGCTGTACGCTCGAAATTTCAAGACAGTGAGCCATGCGACTGGTCGCATTTTGATATCGCTAACCCCAAATCGTGCTAAGACTCTTCCTAAACTTCTAGACGTCCGCGACAATGGGGTCATCTGGACCCGGCGCTTGCATAAATCGAGCCGGACGTTGCATAACTTGCGCCGGAGGATGGCGCTCCCGCTTACTGGGCCCCTGCGGGGAAATAAGGTCCAGGTCTTTAAAATTGGCGTAACCCGCCCAAGAGTCGAGAGCCGCGGGTCTTGCCGCAGCGCCGGACAGTTGCAAGAACCCGCTGGTGAATCCCGGTTCATGACTCCTTGATGGGAAAGAAAGCGACAGCGAGTGACCCCGGGATTGCCATGGGACATGGGATTGGTCCAGTGTCAGAGAAAATTCTAGCGTCGCCAACAAACATGACGCTATCTCACAGCCTACTGCTGATCAGTCGCCGCTGATACTCGATAAGGCCTCCCAGCTGTTCTAGATGCGAGAGGGGATTAGCGAATACGCGGAAGTCTTGGGCCGTCGATAAAACATCAGCCACACCTGCAATGTTACCTCCCCGGGACTCACACAATCCCCGTGAGGCGCAAACATTCAAGAGTCTTGAATCCCTAAGTCCGGGGCAGTCACAGAATTTCGCAGCTTGCCGGCTCGAATCTTGGCGAAACAGTGACCGGCGCTGGCAGAACTTGATCCACCCCGGCTCCACCAGGCCTGCCGGGCCTATATTTTTCGGATTCGGGCCAAGAATTTTTCGTTTCTCTGACCAAACCATTGTGTGACATTCTCGGCGGGACATGAATGGGTCGTAAAAGATGCCCGAAAGATTTTTTTTCTCAGGCCAAGCTTTGGTCAACGTAAAGTGATCTGCAACCTCGTTGTAGATCATCTCGCGTCAAGCAATGAAGAAGAAGCAGTCGTACCTATCAACCATCGGTTTCGCAAAGAACTATTTTGGAAGAATTCTCTGATTGAACCGTTTGAGTGTCCTTGTGAGTTTGTTGCGTTGTGTTAACGAAATCCACTGGCCAGTCCACATTTGAGCCTTCACTGCAGTGACACTCAAGTCAGAGCATGAGATATACAGCGATTACCTGCCATTGACTCTTTGCCAATCCAAGTCCGCATGTCAGAAACATCACCCGATACTGACCACGTCACTTGTGTTGCTGAGTAAAAGGAGTAACCCGGCATTTACAACCACAACTAATCATGTTGCACCACCTCCCATTTACGACCGATAGCCAAAACTTGGCAACGGCGAAACCCGGTTCTTCAAAGCGAGTGTCTCTGAAGAATGCATTGCATTTCAAGGGTGTGAAAACTGACTACATGATGGATTGTGGCTACATATGGTGACAAACTGTTCAGGAACGTCTTTCAAATCCCAGCTTCAACCCACAGATAGCGCTTCGGCTTAGTTGCCGGGCCCGGGAGCGAGTCGGCAACAAGACCATTAGTACTAACGGGGATATCGGAGCTTGCGAGGGGTTCAGATTGAATTCGATTATGCATGAGCCTCACTTAGTATCTCCAAACCTTCGTTGCCTTGGCTCTGGGATTGGGACGGAAACAAGCACGCGCGAGACAGAAAGGGGCGATACGCGTATCCAGATCTACGTATACATAGATACGTAGTCTTTAAAGCATTATAGCCAATGTACCATCGAGTTCTGGGAAAGATGCTCGGGTATCTCGTGGATTCTTCTCACGCTTATCATTTCAACCGATGAGAAATTTCTTCTCTGTTTGCAGTGGAAGACGAGACGAGACAATAGAAACTGAAATCGAACTTACTCTCTTAATCTACAACTCATATACCAAGAGCTGAAGTTAAGATAGCTGGGAAGATGCCGAGGGTACGGACGTACCGGTGTTTTCATGTCATTATGCGTATGATACTCTATGGTACTCCTACATCGGCATCCATGAACCACAAGAAGGGTCGAATAATGACGAAGTTTCATTGATATTGGTATCTAGCACCGCAAATTTGGAATGATTTGGATAGGACATCAGCAGCAAGAAAAGTAGTCATCACCACATAGCCCAAACATGCGGCCCCATCGCCGTCAGGACAACGTCCCTCATTAGCCACGAAACTCGTTACATAGACGCCGACTCAGCAACTCAAAACTTTGGGCCCAGGAATCGAATACGTTTTTCCAGTGGGGTCGTATCCACCGTTGTCGTCGTAAATGTCGAAGACAAGGCCTGGGTTCTTCAGCTGGTATGTCCCAGGGAACTCGGCAAAGTCCACGCCGGTGTTAGTACCGGATCCTTCAACATGAATTCTGTCTCATCGTCAATATCTGGCTTGGGTAGGTCGGATGGTTTCAGAAGAGACGTACTGTGCACACTCCATGTAAAATTGAGGTTGTTTCATCGCCTCAAATGCTTCGTGCAACGCGATGATCTCAACTCTCATGAGGTAGTCTCCAGACGCAACGCACGAAGGCATCGTGAAGTTGAACCACCCATCATCAGCCCTTAGATTATCGATCGCCCACCGGTTATTCTGAAGGCCGCTCTCTGCGATCTTGAACCACCTCAGCCCGGTGGGTGAGGCTGTCGCGGCATCGTCTACCTTGGCAAGGTACGCCATAATGGGGCCTTCTTCCGCGTTAGCATGGTTGCCAGTCACGGGTCAAAGCACCGTCCATACCTTTGTGACTCTCTGCAATAGGATTGTCCACGTCGCCTGGAACTATCGCGTCACGCATGCCGTGTCCCCACCAAGTACCAACGCTGGCGCCGGCAGGAACCGCGATGACAGACTTGTCTAAGAAGACGAGGTTCTTGTTGCAGGAGAAGTTGGCATCGTTGAGGTTGGTAATCGGGCTGTCGTCTTCTGGCGCGCGAACTCCCTTCAGTTGGCCCTGGTCTACACCGTCAACAGCTAGCCGCTGGAAAATTGAATGTGCGTTTGCGGTCGTGGCGAGAGTGACGAAAAGTGGGAGGAACTTCATGATTGCGATTGGAAAAGCAAAGAAGACTCAGGAGGAAGACAGTAATGGCCCAGAACAAGCAGTGAAGGGCGGAAGCTGAATTACGTGAAATCATGTAGAAGACTCGATAGGACATCGGATGGCCTTTATCTTTCTTCAACGGCCGCCATATTGGCCCATGGATCAACCGATGGGCAGACTCGCATTGCCTTGGGGGATTGCGGACCAACACAGAGGTCTTTGCTGGTTTCAGCGGCACTTGGGGGCGCCGGTGCCGCTAGAATTCTCATGCCGACATCGCCGCTGTCTGCTCTGATTGATTGAATAGATCTTGGGGGTGATCTTGGCCCGCGCTGGCCTCCACCTCAAACTCTGCACGTTGTTGTGAACATGAGCACTCTCAGCGGCTGTGCTTACTTTCGCCCCTGCGGTGCCAAGATCGCCCTGGCAGCGCGCAGCAACCAAAAGCTATGAACACGCGCCATCAGGGGCTAGGGCGAGCTCAAAGAACCCCGCGAATCTGGGGGCGCACGAACAGCACTACTGTTTGGCATATTCATCCCTTGCCGTCTCATGTGAGCAGCTCAGATGTGCTGTTTACTGGTGAAGGAGTCCGGTACATGTCCAGGGGACCTGCCATGTCGATGCATCCCGCTCTCTATTCGGCCTGGTTGCCTTCGCCCCTTGCATGTTGACACGGTGTTGACCAGAAGTCTACTAGGTGATTGAAACAAATCCGTAAATTCATCCCACGATTGGATTGATGATCGATTAAGGTTGTTGTGCATCTCTCTCATCGGACCTTTGAAACATCAGATCGTGCATACGACGCCGTCTATGTCGACGGAGCACCGATGAGGACAAACGTCCGCTTTCACGACGGCGCTAGCACGGTCAGACCTGTCTTCCAGATTACATAAACAACGCATCTTAATATCGCAATACAAATGAGTATTGCCTGTCTTCATGGTGGCCAATGTTGCGGATCGACCCGTCCAAAGGTAACTACTCTCAGTCCGTTTCCCATCCCGGACTCCATGTGT